ATTTGTCAGGCATTATAGATAGAAACTTGTCAGGCATTATAGATAGAACTTTGTCAGGCATTATCGATTGAAATTTGTCAGACATTATAGATAGAACTTTGTCAGGCATTATAGATAGAACTTTGTCAGGCATTACAAGTAGAAATCTGTCAGGCATTATAGATAGAAAATTGTCAGGCATTACAGGTAGATATATGTCAGGCATTATAGATAGAAATTTGTCAGGCATTACAGATAGAAATATGTCAGGCATTATAGATAGAAATAGATAGAAATTTGTCAGGCATTATAGATAGAAATATGTCAGGCATTACAGATAGAAATTTGTCAGGCATTATAAATAGAAATATGTCAGGCATTATAGATAGAAATCTGTCAGGCATTATAGATAGAAATTTGTCAGGCATTATAAATAGAAATATGTCAGGCATTATAGATAGAAATTTGTCATGCATTATAGATAGAAATATGTCAGGCATTATAGATAGAAATTTGTCAGGCATTATAGATAGAAATATGTCAGGCATTATAGATAGAAATTAGTCAGACATTATAGATAGATATTTGTCAGGTATTATAGATAGAACTTTGTCAGGCATTATATATAGAAAATTGTCAGGCATTATAGATAGAACTTTGTCAGGCATTATAGATAGAAAATTTGTCAGGCATTAGATAGAAATTTGTCAGGCATTATAGATAGAAATATGTCAGGCATTATAGATAGAAATTTGTCAGGCATTATAGATAGAAATATGTCAGGCATTATAGATAGAAATTTGTCAGGCATTATAGATAGAAATTTGTCAGGCATATAGATAGAAATTAGTCAGACATTATAGATAGATATTTGTCAGGCATTATAGATAGAACTTTGTCAGGCATTATATATAGAAAATTGTCAGATTATAGATAGAACTTTGTCAGGCATTATAGATAGAAATTTGTCAGGCATTATAGATAGAAATTTGTCAGGCATTGTAGATAGAAATCTGTCAGGCATTATAGATAGAAAATTGTCAGGCATTATAGATAGAAATTTGTCAGGCATTATAAATAGAAATATGTCAGGCATTATAGATAGAAATTTGTCAGGCATTATAGATAGAAATATGTCAGGCATTATAGATAGAAATTTGTCAGGCATTATAAATAGAAATATGTCAGGCATTATAGATAGAAATTTGTCAGGCATTATAGATAGAAATATGTCAGGCATTATAGATAGAAAATTGTCAGGCATTATAGATAGAAATTTGTCAGGCATTATAGATAGAAAATTGTCAGGCATTATAGATAGAACTTTGTCAAGCATTATAGATAGAAATTTGTCAGGCATTATAGATAGAAAAAAAATGTCAGGCATTATAGATAGAAATGTGTCAGGCATTATAGATAGAAAATTGTCAGGCATTATAGATAGAAATTTTCAGGCATTATCGATAGAAATTTGTCAGGCATTATGGATAGAACTTGACAAAACTTTGTCAAGCACTGTAGATAGAAATGTGTCAGGCATTATAGATAAAAATGTGTCAGGCATTATAGATAGAAACTTGTCAGGCATTATAGATAGAAATTTGTCAGGCATTATAAATAGAAATATGTCAGGCATTATAGATAGAAACTTGTCAGGCATTAAAAAGAGAGACGTTTGTCGGGCATTATCGATAGAATTTTTAGGCATTATAGAGAAAATTGTCAGGCATTATAGATAGAAATTTTTCAGGCATTATATAGAGTAATGTGCCTTCATTTCAGATGGTATTGATATGTCTAGCATTTCAGCTATTATATTACATTGTGATATTGCCACCATTTCAGGTAGCAATTTATTTTGCATTACAGACAAGAATAGCATTGTTTTGCAAATGGTGTTTTGTCTATTGTTGTAGACAGTATTTAGTTTTCCATTGTAGAAAGAAATTTAAATACTATTGTAAAATATACTTGTGTCGTCCTAAACTTATAATTTGTTTTTTTCTTTTCCTTTCCTATTTTTTTAAATAATGTTTTACTGATATATAAATAACTAGAACTTCCACAGGTCTGACAATGATACTCCCAACACGCAATTTTGTAATAGAGTATTTATTTTAAGTTCGACCTACTCAATTTTAATAGGGTATTTATTTAAAGGTAGTCCAATATATCCATTTTTTCTAAGGGTGTCGAACAATTGAGTGTTCATGCACGGAAGAAGGACAAGTTGTTAGTAATGGAGTGAAGATAAAATGGCCTGTCTTTCTCAACATTGGTAGAAAATAAATTGATTTGTAAAATCTCCATACTACTATTTATTCAAGCTTCATGAAACTAATGTATGTAAAATGTGAATATTATGGTGGCTTATTTGTGCCATTCGTGTTTTCGTCCCACGACCCCGCCAAGCGAAAGGTCAAGAATGTACAAATTAAAACGGCGGGGGCGCGGAGATAAAAAAAAACGCTAATAAGTGGGCGCGCGGGGCGAAGTAAGTAAATAAAAATTCGCCCCGCGGGGGTGCGGGGCTAGATTTAAGAAATAAACGGCGGGTGCACGGAGCGAAAATACGCTTATTAGCGAGAGCGCAGAGCGAATTTCAATAAATAAAATTTCGCCCTGCGCCCTCGCTTATTAGTGTGTTTTCGTCCTGCAAACCCGCCAAGCGAAAAGTCAAGAATAAACAAGTTAAAATGGCGGGCGCGTAGAGCGAAAACACGCTAATAAGCGAGGCCGCGGGCGATGTTTAGTAAATAAAACGTCGCACTGCGATGGCGCGCAGCGAAAATTAAAATCGCGGGGACTCGGAGCGAAAACACGCTTATTAGCGGGGGCTGTCCCGTTATCATAGCTCGTTGAACTGCTAGGAGTACTCATTAACTGATTTATTCTATAACTAACTGAATAATTATCCCTTTTTTGGGGGTGGTGGGGATACACTAGCCGATTTATCATTGTACAGGAGAAATCAGAACATTGGCACTCGGTGAAAAAGTGCAAGGTCTTCTTGCAACACACCGTGCATTTGCATCTCTCATTTGCTCGCTCTTCTTATGCCATATAAATTATCTGTATAGACTCGTTCAAGTATATTTCATAATGATAAATTGCTCGTTTTTCTTTAATGTATAATAGAGTATTATTGACTCATGTCAGAAATCATGCGTTTAAAGAATTAATTTTTCAAAAGTCCTTAAAGGACAATTATTGAAATGCACTGTACTGCTGACATGTTGAAGCCTTTACATGTTGTTGAAATTGCCTGGAAATAAATATGCATATTGTAACCTTAGTACAGAAACGAGCTCCTATTAAAGTATATACTAAGGTGACGACTATATCCAAAAGTTTAGTCCTTACAAACGTTGTATGGTAGACCTCATTCAATGCTGACATTCCGTCTGGCGTTCCTGGTGGCTATACATAATTTACTGCAAAAAAAAAACTTTTAGCCTATAATAACTTACTCAGTATAATGCAACCACTTGAAATATGAAGTCAGGAATGGTCTCCATAACCTCTACTATAGCGCCACAGCACGTGTCTGTGGCTGAATGTCGCAAATACACAAACAATAAGGGCCCTACATTTAATTAATTTTAACTAATATTTTACTCGGAAAAAAGTCTCAAAATCGAAAATATATTTACGAGATTTTCAAACCATTTGACTGAAAGTCTGCAACAATAGCGTGTGTGCAAATTTTCTGACCATTCCCAAACTTTTTTCCCAGAATAATCATTATTATTGTGCAAACCGACATGAAATGAAAAGCGTTGCATCGATTTCACTCAAATGTAGACTTAGAATTTGCGATTATATTCTTTATTTCCCCTTGTTAAATCACCTTCTGAATATGAATTGCCTCCGTTTGTCAGTCCGTTCGTCCGTCTGTTTGTCCGTCCGTCTGTCCGGGCGAACATCCGATGGTCTATGAGCTTCAATCCGTCCATAATTGTAGTTAATAAAAGAAGGAAATCCCAGAAACCGACTGGTGTTAATTTTAATAATTTATGGGGAAAATGCCACATATAGATCAAAGAAAAAACATATAAACCCCAAATGTTGGCATGTCCGTCTGTCCGTCCATAACACTTCCGTGTCCGCTCTATAACTTTTAAACCGCTGATTTTTTTAAATAATTTGAAGTGATCACCATTGTGAGATGATGTGCAGAGTGCAATAATTGGGTTGGAACACCTAAGGTCAAGGTCACACTTATAGGTAAAGTGTTAAAATGTCTACATTTCTGTCCTCTTCATAACTTTTAAACAACTGATAATTTTTTTAAATAACTTGGCAGAAATGATTACCATTATGACATGATGTGCAGAACCCATAATCCAGCTTGCTACCCCCAAGGTCAAGGTTAAACGTTCTCCATAACTTTTTGACTTCATGGAAGATTTGAAATAATTACTACCAGGAGACTATATGCTTATTATATACATGGCACAACATCAAGGTCATGGTCTGTTAAAGGTAAAAAAGTACACATTCTTGTCAGCTGTGGAAGGGGATTTTGCTGTCCTTCAGACTGTCTTGTTCAATTTAAAGTGCTTCACTTGATCTATGTAAAAATATTAAATTTTATATTTTTAGACTTTTTTTTTTACCTCAATGGAGTTCCATTAAGCCCCCTATCCCATTACAGAGGCGTTAAAATACATATGTATATGATATGCCTTTGTATTTTTGATAGCTGCGTGTCTGCTCAGTCGTGAAAAAGTTCCTTCCTTCCTTCTCTATATCTTTTTACTTTCATATTTCCTTCTTTCTTTGTCTATGTAATACGGATTTTGAAGGCGTTACGGAGATACATGTATGATATGTCATTATTTTTACATAATTATGACAAAAACAACAACAACAAAAAAACAAAGGATATCTAGAATTTTCAATATATATACATGTATCTGAATATCAACATAATAATAAGCATAAGAATTTGTAGCAGTTTGAAGATTGATTTTATTTTCGACCAATGATTTCAATATTGTCCTTTGTTGTGCTGTAAATGAAACCATAATCCGTCAAATTCAAATAGTATACATTTAGTCATTAAATACAATAAAATAACGTTACATTATATACCGTAAATATAAAAATCATATGTAATGTTAAAAGAAAAACAAAATGGAATTTTACGAAATGGTAATCTGAATCTGTTATAAGGAACAACAATGATTTCAATGTTAAAAAGTATATCAATCTAAACATTTTTCTAGATCTGCACAAAGATATACCTTTAACGAAACAGTCACTTCAATATGCAAATTCCGTATGGACTACGAGGCCATTGTAGCAAGCGATCTGACTTTAGTAAAGATCTACTTATTCTTGTGTTCCGAGTTTGCTAATTTTAGCTATCCAATTAAATCGTCCGTTACAAATAGGCACAAGAAAAGTCAATTCTGTTGTTTGAAAAATCATAGCACACATACTTCAGGCCCATTGTCACGTTTTTGTGATTCGTGTGGACAATTTTGTGGTTCTATGTGGGCACCGGGGCATGCTCCCCGGAAAAAAGTTTTATTCTAGGATGCTCTCAGAAGCTTTTTCCCATGTATTTGACACAGTTTACAGTCTACCACCAGTACATATTATGTTGGCATATGTCACTGAATTTTTAACAAAGATCTGAGCATCGTAAGTTTAAAGAGGAAAAGGTTGATGACCGATCGCATAACGGACGGACAGTTTTACATCAAAAATATGAATAATTAATATTTGACAAATGAAAAATAAACATTAATTGATGTTGTTATAACTGTTAATTATACATAAAAAATACAAGAAATATTACATTCAAGAACAGTGGTATGCAGATTGTGTGCTTAATTATCAATAGATCAGAGTTTCATTTACAAGCGTATTGGTGACTGTTTCATTCACTTTATATTTACTTTTAACTAGGGAAAAACAAAAATGTTGTTCCAGTTCAAACTTACTTACAACCGATAAATATGTCCATGGACGCCTCATGTTTGTTCCAGCGGGAACAAGACATTTTCGCCTCTAGACACATCACCTCAAACATTTGAAGACAATGCAGCCCTCAAGGCACTTTACGCCTCAGTAAGACACTTCGACCCTCATCCAATATTTTCAATAAATGATTCAACAACAAATAAAGCTTTATGTTTATTAAAACTATTTTAGTAACTTTTGTTGATTCAGCATGTTTATTGGTTGTTTGTTTTCCAGCAGTTATCTCCTAATTGATTAGTTATTTCGATTAAAGTGGTATTTCTGAATAAAAAAAATGATCACTAAATAAACAAACGTGACTTTTATAGCTTAGCCAATGAGTTATACTTACAATATACATTATTCTCTTCCGTTCATTTTCAAACAATAGCTAGTGCGCAAATATTATTACTCCAAAAAATATAAAAATCATTAATCAAATTTATTCACCATCAATCAGTATTTTAATAAGAATATGAATTATTGTCTAACTATAAAGTTATTTACTACATGTTTTAAAAAATATCTTTGTGATAAGGACCTTTTTAGTGGATGTAGTGTCTCAATCAAAGTTCTTAAAATCAGAGGTGACTTGTCTGAAGGTTGAAGTATAATTTAATATGTAAATCGTTCCAGTGTAATATCTCGAAATCATGATGATTACCTTCTCGATATTCGTTTTCCAGCGTTTAATCAAGAAACAGAACCGCTTTCAAAATTATTAAAATTCGCCGATGATTGGCTGTTTGAAAGGTCTCGAGAAATGACATTGTATTTGGTCACGGTCAGGTCTAAAAGCGGAGCGTTATTTAGAGCAGATTTTTATCATCACACTACCTATTTGTGACGTATTCATATACGTATTTGTCACACATTTGTGAAGATTTCGTAAGTATATTTCACACGTGTGATGAATTTTATGTGTAAAATCTGCCGTTTCACAAAGGCCAACTTCGACATTTTCTATTTTTATCATTTTTTTTACTTAAATCCTACGTAGTGTGTTGCACATAGTTATTTATATAACAGCAAGGCAACATTCCAAGGGCACTTTTTCTGATTTTCCTCTAAGAGCAACATATCGAGGACTTGATGCAAATCCGTTGTAACTCATAAAGAAGAAGATACAACTGTTTTACACATTGACCTCGTTATAGATAAATATACACATTGACATCGTTATACATAAATACACACCTTAAAGTCGTTATACATGAATAAACACCTTAACCTCGTAACACTTCAATACACACCTTAACCTCGTTATACATGAATATACACATTGACCTCGTTATATATGAATATACACATTGACTTCGTCATACATGAATAAACACATTGACCTCGTTATATATGAATATACACATTGACTTCGTCATACATGAATATACACCTTGACCTCGTTACACTTGAATATACACCTTAACCTCGTTATACATGAATAAACACCTTTACCTCGTTATACATGAATATACACATTGACCTCGTTACACTTGAATATACACCTTAACCTCGTTATACATGAATATACACCTTGACCTCGTTATACATGAATATACACCTTGACCTCGTTATACATGAATATACACATTGACCTCGTTATATATGAATATACACATTGACTTCGTCATACATGAATATACACCTTGACCTCGTTACACTTGAATATACACCTTAACCTCGTTATACATGAATATACACCTTTACCTCGTTATACATGAATATACACATTGACCTCGATATACATGAATGAACACCTTAACCTCGTTATACATGAATATACACCTTGACCTCGTTATATATGAATAAACACCTTGACCTCGTTTCACTTGAATTAACACCTTAACCTCGTTATACATGAATATACCTCTTGACCTCTTTATACATAAAAATACCCCTTGACCTCGTTATACATGGATAAACACATTGACTCGTTATAAATGAATATGATGTCAATTAAATACATTACCTTATCTCACATATAGGGTGGTGTGAGGCAGCACACGGAGCGTCGTGCCAGCCGTTAAATACGTCAGTCCTGCTTGCAATCACGGCACAGTCTTCGTCACCCTCGCTTCCTGGTTGCCCGGGATACCTAAAATATGCCTCGCATGATTGAACATATTCAAAAAACGTTGAATTTGAAATAAATGTGTGTTCATATTTATAACTCAGATAAAATATTAATAGGCCACTTATTGAACTACCCACTGACTGTATGTGTACTTGAATATACGAGAGATAGATATGTGTGACGTGTTAAGTTTTACGTTGGCAGCTATTATATAAAGTTTAAACATATTCTTTTCATACTCATACACAGTACATTATATACATTCATTCAATATATACAATGTTTACGAAAGATATGAAATCTTAGATAGTTCCTCTCCGAAACTATTACTATTACGCACGTATTACTATTAATGGTGGCAAAAAGATGTACAATTTGTGCCACCGAAATATAAAATATTATTATATTCATATTAAATATATGTATATTTTATTAATCTTGTTATGACTTTTCAAATGATTACAGCTGACTACATATACATGTACCTACATTATTAGCGGTTCGAAATTTGATAAATGTACACAAGATTATTATATTTTAACAAAAAATGACAAGAAATAATATCATCCGCTGAAGTAAAGATGCGTAATCCTAAATTACATCTCCTAAGTGATAAATCCTCACCATCATGTGAAATTATTGGACTTATTCCCATCAAATGTCATAAAGTAAAAGATAACATACCATCCTGTGAAATTAACAGGCTTATCTCCCTTGTACCACACCCATAAACCCTCGATCATCTCGTCATTAGCACCTATCCAAAACTCTTGACCTGGGTGCTGTGAAGCTTAATAAATATGGCTTATGAGGATACTACTAGTATTTACAAAATAAATCTAGTTTCATGTGTGTGTGTGTGTGTGTGTGCGTGTGTGCGTGCGTTCGTGTGAACCGTTAGTTAGATACACCGGGTTTGATGCATAATGTTCCGTTGAAGTTACACATACTTGAAAATTATGGACAATAAATACCATAAATCGTTGTTGTCCTTTTCCTACAGTTTACATAACAAGTACATGTTTAGAAATATGAGCAGATGCGATCCTTATCCGTTCAGAATCAGAATGAGTGAAATCGAAGACTATCGGTGTACATGTACTTCTTTAACGTTTTCATGAACATGATGAAGCTATTTTTAAAACATAGGCAGTTTTAAGTAAAAATCCAGAGAAAACAAGGGGTCATATATTAAACAAAGAAGACACCTTTCTAGACAGTTTATCACACATTTTAAATATGGACGAATGCTACTTACGAGTTCTATACATTCGTTCCAGCAAACTTCTGATAAAAAGATCTTCATCTTTACTTTCAATCATTACTAAATCTGCTCCATGTTGTTGGCAATGATGCTTGAAGGATACATTGAAATATTTACATCATGATATTTGCTTAATGATATTAAATGACTTGATGCAAAGGCGCAAGTGCTTATTTAATCGAATAAATGCGCGAGCGAAGGCGACAGTACTTGCTGCATCAATTAAAGGGACGCAACTGAGTTTGTTTGACATGAGGAACTGGAAAATTATTAAAGATTTATATACAGTTTATGTAGGCATTAAAACTTTTATTACGATGTTTAAATGTATACAAGAAATTCTACCCAGATATATTCCTATAAATAGTTTTATAAGATATGTACTCAGTAAGGGTTTGTTTCACGTATCTTGTCTTTTATTTATTTTTAAATTCAATCAAGCAGAATCTTACAATAGCTTCTGTCCAGTCGCAGCTGATGTTGTCACTGATATAGTAACAGGAACCTCGGAATGTTATCCAAGCATCAGGGCACTGAGATGCCGGACATTCGCACTGCTGTCCATGTGAAACCACCTTCAAAATCATCATCATCGCATCTAAAACAAACAATAACTTATAAACACATTGAATTACAGACGCCAGTGATGACAGATTGCTGCAGTGATGACTGATTGCTGCAGTGATGACAGATTGCTGCAGTGATGACAGATTGCTGCAGTGATGACAGATTGCTGCAGTGATGACAGATTGCTGCAGTGATGACAGATTGCTGCAGTGATGACATATTGCTGCAGTGATGAGAGATTGCTGCAGAGATGACAGATTGCTGCAGTGATGAGAGATTGCTGCAGTGATGACAGATTGCTTGCTGCAGTGATGACAGATTGCTTGCTGCAGTGATGCCAGATTGCTGCAGTGATGACAGATTGCTGCAGTGATGACAGATTGCTGCAGTGATGACAGACTGCTGCAGTGATGACAGACTGCTGCAGTGATGACAGATTGCTGCAGTGATGGCATATTGCTGCAGTGATTACAGACTGCTGCAGTGATGACAGACTGCTGCAGTGATGGCATATTGCTGCAGTGATGACATATTGCTGCAGTGATGAGAGATTGCTGCAGTGATGAGAGATTGCTGCATTGATGACAGATTGCTGCAGTGATGGCATATTGCTGCAGTGATGACATATTGCTGCAGTGATGAGAGATTGCTGCAGTGATGAGAGATTGCTTGCAGTGATGACTGATTGCTGCAGTGATGACATATTGCTGCAGTGATGACATATTGCTGCAGTGATGACATATTGCTGCCAGTGATGACAGATTGCTGCAAGTTGATGACAGATTGCTGCAGAGATGACAGATTGCTTCAGTGATGCCAGATTGCTGCAGCGATGCCAGATTGCTGCAGTGATGACAGATTGCTGCAGTGATGACAGATTGCTGCAGTGATGACAGATTGCTGCAGTGATGACAGATTGCTGCAGTGATGACAGATTGCTGATATGGTGATGATGATTGTGGTGATGGTGGTGGTGAGGATGATGATGATGATGATGATGATGAAGTTTTCATTTAACCAGAGAACTTATATCATCAATCTTCCATGACAACATATTCAAACTATCAAAATACATGAATCTAACATACAATTTGTAGTATGAAATTGACACTTACAAAGCTTACACCTTGTGTATGAAAATATCTGAAGTATAATGTTTTTAAAATTGTTTACATTAATCTGATGTAGCAGACTTGATACATGTAAAATGATGAAGGCTCATCAAACGTTCCAAATGTTCCAAATACAAGATCAAGAACAAACAAACGCATGACTTTTTGAAATTGTTCAGTATTTGATCTAGGGGATAATTAAGGTACACTGATATGAAATGATACTTAAAACAGAGTTGGTAGAGTTTATGTTTTGAGATTTAAAGCTAGCGGAAGCTACTCGCCTAGCCATTAAATAAAACGAATGCATACTTAATGTTCATCTGTTTTCGGACATTTCCACGATCACCAGGCTTTAAGTTTATTCTTTGTTTACGTTTGGGTAATGCAGCTGTGTTTAGACTATTTATTTAACTAGACAGATAGCTAAAATGTCTGGTTTATATTCCGAATTATTCATTTAAACACGATTATGGAACAATAATAATATATATATATATATATTAGTATGACTGCACTGTATGTAGTAAAAGGAAAGGAAAAGTAAAAAATAGAAACGAAAAGAAAAGGAAAGAAAAATGTAAGAAAAGAAAGAAAAAGAAGAAAACGGATATGCTTAAAGGAACCAAATTATATACCAAATAGATTTGTGTAGAATCATGCATGTAAAATCATATCGACACCAAATGAACTAATTGGTAGTTTAACAGTTCCACGAGTTAGGAAGTAAGTTCAGAAACATATATCGCAATTCAGACACTATAAAGTCATTTCTTACTTTCCGCCGCTGAGCTCAATAGGTCGAGCATATATAAATAAAAAATAGTTGGCGCTGCTCGAATCTTCGTTCAAGGTGTTATCTCTCCGGTAAAATTAATCTCGGACATTGAATCTAATGGTCATTTTTCTTTCCCCTTCATGTGGGATTAGTAGTCTGTCATAAGCGGAACTGTTACTGGTTAGTTATCCTGGAAAAGCCTGTTAGGTGGATTGACAGCCGATATACTACCAAATAATTATGTTAACATCGGTGAAAAAATAGAAATAGAAATATCAAACAAACAAAAACTTACAAAAAACAGCCATGTTTTCATTTTATGATCTAGGTTAGTAAACCGAGACGCACATTCAAGATAAACACGGGGTTAGCGTAGTCTTAATCAGCTAAAAAGAAATTTTATCAAAACTAAATGTTCGTCGTATATGATAAGAAGTAAAAGTACAGTGACTGGATTTTCAGATAATACAAACATTTCATCCAAGCTATACCAATCAAACAAAATTAACCGGCGACGGAATTCACTTTTCAGGCAAACAAATACTCATTATGGCTAGGGTGACAATCTAGACATTTAGAAAACTTGAACCCGGACCCATTTTTTAACCCAAAGCGTATGTTCCAATATATTTGTAGTTTTCAAAACTGCTGACATAAATTTGTGGCGAACAGAGAAATCCCAAGATGGCGTCCAAGATAGCCACCAAAAAATATGGAAATTACAACCTACGTACTTTTACTTGATTTCAATCAGTTAAAACATGTGTATTTGTTCTTTTCAAGCATTTTTGTATAAAATACATGTTACACATACAACTTTAGTACCTTTTGTAATGTAAAAAATATCATTTAATAGACAAAGGCTGAAAATTGCGGCAAAAAAAAAAGGAGAAAAATTACTAATATTTAAGATGTCCGAACATTTTTTCCATGTAATAATGCAATTTACAAAATTAATTTGTTAAACTATGGTTTGTATTACAAGAAACCATTATCTGCCATAAAAAATTGTGCTTTGATTTTTGAATGTAATTGGATTTTTTTTTAGAAAATGTATTTTATTAAGTGGTTGGGCGTAAATTAACAATTTAATCAAAATCACAAATTTATTGTAAGTAACATTTTTTTTATCTATTTAAGTTTTGTTATTTTATATAACTACTTGAAATACTTAAATCTGTATTTTTTAACAAAATTCAGTAACTTTGGGATTAGAGTATGCAATATTGGATTTACTTATAAAAAAAAAACACAACAACTAATTATTGACGTCTTTAATGCCATCAAATTGTCAGAGATCTACAATGATAAGTATTTATGTGTGTGTATATAAAAAAAATATTACTTTTAAGATGTATTTGCATCTCTAATTCACTTCTACTACAGATAAAAAAAAAACAACAAAACAAACATGTAATTTATTTTGGCATGGATAGTAAAATTTGACTGCAGAATATAAACTTGAGCAGGTTGCGATATAGGGTAAAAAGGTTGACTTAATAATATCAAGGTTTTTAACCTTGATGTTTTCAAACAACTGTTTTTTAATCATTTAATAAGCACATTGAAATGGAGGACCCAACCATGTGAACAATCTTGAACAATGTTGGTAGTTATGAACAAGGTGATGTCACTAAATAAATCAGGTAAAAGGGTTTTATGCAAAAAAATACGACACCAACATTAGTCAAGTGGTTTCTTTAAAAGTTCTCATCGAAAGAAAACGAAACGCAGACATATAATATCTACCACATACATTGTACAGCTGAATGAAAGTCTGACAGGCCTATTCGTTATCGCTACCCCATTGCATGAAGTATGCTAAAGAAAATGACTGTGACCAAGGTCATAACTTATGATATATATTTTCCATGTATCTGCTTAAATTTTATATTGAAATTGTGCACCTTCAATTTAGTATGGGGGATATTTTTGATAGTTAAACCAAAGGGTCAATTAGTGATTTTTGCAAAGTCAATGTAGAGATTAAATTAGACTATATTTCAACTACCCATGTCTGGAAATTTCAGACAAAATGATTTCTAATGTTTTCATGTACTAATGTTATGTATTCACTCATTTGCTTATAATGATAATCAGCGAGCTATGCCCACTAATTTATTCATTAATAATAATTAATTCATTAATAATGATTAATCCGTTTTTTTTTCTGGCAAAATGACTATTTACACCGGTAAAGTACCTGTCATACAAATAAAATTCCAAAAACAGTAGAGAAAAAATTAAAGTCATTGAAAATAATAAATAAAAGTTAAAATATCCAAACAGAGAAACAACTGAAGTATAAAGCAAAAGGGAGATTACATTAATATACATGTTACAATGTATATATATAAAGACAGAAGAGCGATTAAAAGAGAGCCACATTCTCCAGTTTTTATGTCAACAGTCCAAAACCCTGCGACCATCTGGAAATTGTCTACATTAAAATGTACTTAGAAATTAAATTTGCCATCTTGGTTAACTGAATTCATAGTTTGGACCCAATTGACAGCTATATATCTTGTGACAGTTTTATTTTATTTCGTTTTCATTACTATGTATTACCCGAAAAGCAGGAATGTTGAAAATAAACTCATGAAATGGGCATTAGTCCACGCCTATTATGTGCCAATATTTTGGGCCGCAACGAGCAGCCACATTAATTATATCATCATATCTTAAAGTTAACACATTTTATAACATTAAATTTTAAACTACATTCAAAAGAAAATCAGGAAAACATTTGCTTTTCAAATCACTGACGTTTGAGAATATCAACCTGGCTTCCATAGCGAATTCGACAGTGATTATAATTGCAGTAAAACAGATACATGCATTATGTAATAGAAAGAGCATCGAAACGAGAGGCTATCTGATTTGTACGAGGGGCAACGTTATCCCCGAGTATAAATCAGATTGCCGAGTTTTTTGATGTTCTTTCTCTTTTGTATTATAGTCAAACAATAAAAACACGTTCCCTGATACCACAATATGAAACCCCACAAAAAGAAACCCAATGAACGAGCCATCTGAATATGATATTTCCATCGCTTTCCCTTTCTCTGTCGTCACAATATGTATACCCCGGACAAAAATGAACCAAACCATGCTCTGATGTGTGCGGGGTAACTAATACCTGCATTCCAGTTAACGCACTGTGCAATGTTTATGTATCGACGATTTAACTCTGTCACATTTTCAACAGAAAGGTCCCCAAACTATCATACAAATAACTGTTGTTTTATTTTCGCTATAAATATAAAGCTATTTTCTAAACTTCTCATATTATATAGTTTTAAAATAAGCAGACATCATTGTGTTCGAGTCACTTTCTATAAGGTAATGCCATATTTAGAATTATGCACCTTAACAGTACATGCAACTTTATTGAAAAAAGTGCCCTGAATCACACAATGTATGTTGCTGTGAGTGTTATATGATACCAGTAGATGATCGACAATGTCTCAGTTATACCTAAAATTAAAAGCAATACTGTATTATAATTACACCAATTATTAACGTCGATATTTAGCCTTCAATATAATTAGTCTGGTTGTCATTCTTAAAACACTTTCCAGGGAACATTTTTGTGTTGTAGGTTCAATGAATACATGTATAATGCCTTAGCAGCCTTATACAGTTATTAATTTCTTTCAATTTAATTTGTTATATATTGTTTGTTTTACTTACTGTGTTGTTTGTAAAGGCCAGTATATTACAAAGATTTGGCGTAACTAATTATTACTGGCGATAGTTACGTTTAAAAAATTGAGTAATGAACAGATACATTGCTATTAAATTAAAAATGAAACTTTATTGCATCTGTAAATGAGAATATTGTAAGTTCGTTTTTTTTGGCGAATAGTATAAAACTTAAGATATTTTGTTAGCCGGTAGCGTCGTAGTACCCATAACAGTTGCAAGGATACGCAGCAACGCTATATTTTGAAAACAGGCTTTGAGGGTCAACTTCGATGTCAAGTATTCAAAAAAATGGCTGAAACAATTGGAAAATAATCAACAGAATCTGTCAACCTTTCAAAATAAATTTGCAGACGCTTCTAGAACGTTTGAATGTGTTCGCTTTCTACCTTACATTTGAGTTATTGAAAGTAAATTTGAGGTTTTTTTAAAATTTTACACTTGATATATTTGAAAAAATTATAAATGTAGTAGTCTACTAGAAACAATCATTATATGAAACATTCTTTTGCGTTTAATTTTTCTGTAACATTTTCTCTTCTGTGGAAACGATAATGATTCATTTATATTGTTACAAAAAAAAGATTCTAAAAAATTTACCGAAAAATTCAAGAATAATAAGCATTAGTTAGTAATGTTCAAACTTATTTTCATTTTTTGTTTAAGACAAAGTTTTAAGATAAATATTTTACATTGAAAGTGAATTTGAACTGAATCTGAAATGTTAATCTTAGGTACATGCACATTCCAATATGAAAAAAGTGAAATAAAAATTGGTTGTTACAAGTAAAAACTGCTTAAAAATCAATTGTCTACAGAGTTAAGTGTACATAAGATTTTAAGATGTTATACGACTATGCTTTCCTATTTTGACCCATGAAAAACTTTTGTTTCTTACGGTAAACATAAACATCTGAAATATATTTGATTCAATGACGCAGAAATAATAAAAAATGATAATCAGCTTTTTTCTGATCGGCAGATCAGGAAATACAATGCTAACATTCAACTCTGACACAGAATTTCACGACAAACCTAACAACAAGTAGTTCTCAAAACAGCTTAAAATTAACGATGCTAAAAGAAAGAAATATTTTTGTTTTTGTACAAGTATGCAACAAATTACAACGCATTCAACCGTTTAAAAGTAGCATTGGTTTATAGAAGTGTCAATAAAGCAGCACAATCACAAACTTACGGGCGGATGAATATCATTTTAGTCAATGGAAAAATGTTATTTTTAGCGATGTCGATAGAGCGTAGTACACAAATAAATCTGACTGTCGAATAGCTGGAATATATATATGTCGGGGACATGAGAAATTTTCACTAAATTATTTACATCATTGTTAAACAACAGGTTTATCGTGAACAAAATACCGCAATCATTGTCCAACAACATTGGCCTGGTACTCTTGCATTTGACCCTGTAGTCGGTTATGCCGTAAACGTTACGATCTACTTGTAAATTGATATGAATGTAAAATATCTAATTGTTAAAAATTCGGTGTTAATTAAAAATATCTCTAGCGCATGTTGGTAAATGGGTTCACTTGAAGAATGTAGACGTCAACTGGTAGGTTCGAACCCATATTCACGTATTTATTTTTCATTTTATTTTTTTTTT